ACGTACTTGGAATTATAGGGACACCTTTTTATTTGCAGCCAGCTTACTGGAAACTTGCAGGTTAAATAGTTTTAAATTGTAACTACATAATTACAAATGTTGCATATAAAATTACTATTTTTCTTGAATTATTATTTCACATTAAACTTTAATCGACTTTATTGCTACAGAAGTAATATTTACAAATAAAATACTAATTTGCGAATACACATTTATTTATATACATATAATGTAAGTGAAAATTTATTTACAATTCTTCTATGTACATAATATTAGCATTCATTATAATTCACTAACATAATCAAGGGTTGCTTTTTCTCTTATGTAACAAAATATTTATTTAAATAAATTGTTAACAATTACTAGGATTAAAAAAAGGATATTATTTTTATGTTACAGATATGATTAAAATACTTTTCTTTTATTATGTATCAATGTAAAAAATTTATTTAAGTTAACATTAAAAAATACGACTTAAAAATAAATCTTTCAAATTTATTGAATAAATTAAAAATTTTACAATTTAATTTTCAAAAGAGGATTGTCAAACATTACTTTAAAAAAGATTTTATCAGGAACCGACAGGAAAATTGAAAATCGTATTGCGACAGAACTTTTTTCGAAAATTCACAATTGTATAACAACACCCAGATTTGTTTCGTATTATAAAAGTAATATCGTACTTTTTGTTTGAAATTATGATTTCTATCTATGCGGTTATTTTTTATCACTGTCCGTCATCAAACATAAGTTACTTGTGATAGCAATGTTGACATGGTTTGTGAATTTTTTAAAAATGTCGTTGCTGCCATACGATAAGATTTTCTGATGTCCTCTGAACATTTTATTCAAAATACCATAAGGTTGAAATTCATTCGTTTCTAAAGTTGATTGTAAATAGTGCCTTAGATTAATTACCCACTACAAAATTGTCTCTCAATTCTGTATTTATGTACTTTATCTAGTAGGCATATTTCTTCAAATGTTTTATACAGAAGAATAAGCAATTTTTTATGATTTCTACCTCTTCTTCAGAAAAAGAATAAATACAAATAAATATAAATAGACAATTTGTAGCATAAAAATAATTTTTAACGCGATAACCATCTTATTAGTTTCCCAAAATGACTAGAATATAGGTTTGAACTTCTATGAAGGAGTTTACACCGTAAGCCTTAAATATAAGCCTCCGCGCGCATAAACGGATATACCTCCAGGAGCATATATTTGCGCCTGCGCGAACACGTGGCCAAGGCAAACTCTTTCACAACACAGCTGCAGGCAAACACTTTGCGCAGACGCAAGTATATGCTCATGGAGGCATATCCGTTTATGCTCGCGGAGGCTTATATTTAAGGCTTACGGTGTAAACTCCTTCTAAACATCCAAAGTACCACCTTAAGTATCTTAATATTCGTTTTAATATTTTTAAAAAATTCACTCAACATATATTGAGTTTTCTTCAAAATAATAAATTTATTTATATTTTATTATTGGTACTTTAATTATAATTTGAAATAGTTTGGCCCTAAAAAATTTATATATTAAAAAGTTTTATATAATTTAGAAACTTAATTCATTTAATCAATTAAAGCAGACTCAAGAAGATTTTGAAATTTGTTGCTATAAGTTTATGGTTATGTATTGTAGTAGTATATATCACATAGAGTGATAATAAAATCCAAATTTGGGGGAAAATTGGAAAGTGGGGAGAATACACGAAGGAGCGGAAAAAGAGGGCTCATCTTGTTTTCCGACACTATCAAGATCGGACACTGTTATCCTGGGTCTTCCCATATTTATAATATACGGTTGACGGTTTATATAAATTATTGAAACTAAGTTACTACTTTTTTATTGAACTATATAAAGCGTAAGACATTGCGGTGTACGGGTGTGCTTACGAAAAACTATTCAAAGTGAATTGACTTAAACCAAGTGCATTTGGATTTCATGTGAAATTAATCATATCAAGAGTAAGGCATTATGGTGTACGAGTGTGCTTACTAGACATTTTAAAAGAAAGTTCAATTTAATAAAGTTATTGGTTGATCGGAGTACGATTGATGATAATTGGAACCATCAACTGTGGATACGACTGGTTTCCGGAAGGCTGGATGGAATAAAGAGTTGGATCGTTTTCTCTTCAAAACAATCTACTAATTCTTCCCCAACCTCAAAGAATAAGGGATTCAAAATTGGGACATCGAATCATGATTAATTGTATATGTACTTTTTATTGTTGTATTTTTAATATAGATGTATTATTGTGCGTATGTGTGCGTGTCTTATTGTGTATGATGAATGAATGATTTGACGCGTCGTCTAATCCCCGCTACGGTTTAAAATCATTGGTTCGATCATTATATAATAAGTATAGTGCCAATTATAATAAAAAATATTATTTCATTATCAAATTTAAAATATTAATTGTTGTTATTTAATAAAAGTAGAGAACATCCAATCTATGAATCCTTATTTCGGAGCCGGGTCGTCACAGTATTATTGAAAGTTTTGATATTAATACTAATTTACAGTGAACGCTATGAAGGCACTATGTTTCACAGACGGAATCTTGAGGAAAAATAGATGTCTTTACTCTCAGCCATCGATTGTTTTTTAAAAATGTAATTTATAGATAGGCGTAATAAATACTTTTAATTTTAACATTGCAATAAAACGCATCACATGTTGACTTCTGCTAATAATGTTAATTTAAAAAAATTTATGCCTGTCTACGAAACACAATCATTTTTACACTAAAGTTAAATAAACGTTTAAAACGTCATTAAATCATTAACTTCAATATTATTACTATATAATTATCATTAATAATAATGGCACGTTACGCAGCTCGTGGTAAGTAGCGTCTCGAAAATGCAAATTTTCTTCATAAGTAACAGTTATTTTCATATTTGATGATAAAATATTTGTACTTTAAATTTTTTGCACGAAAATAAGCGATGAAGAAATGCTTTTTCCAAAAATTAGAACTAGCAAATCAAAGTAAATTGGCACTTTGAGAAGACTCCACTTCCATCAGTTTTAATTAAATAAGATACTTGATTTTTTTGTAAATCCGAATAGTCAATCGCGCTCAAGTTATAAGGCACTACTTGTTTAAAAATAATAAAGAATAGAAAGAATTATAATATCGCATCAACATTGATTATGTCAGCCTTGTGGGAACATTGTCTGTCAATGTTGACAGGTAATATTGATGCAATGTTTCCTCGAAATATTAAAAAATAATATATTATAATTACTATAATATAATTAAATAATGATAATTTATTATTGCAGAATACATATTATTGTATAATATTTTAATATATTATAACATTACCAGCAAATGTTGCCTCAATAGTACCATGCAATATTGACACAATATTGAACTCAAGTGTTGTGCTATTTGGCTATAGCACTCGACATTTGCAACAACAGTCTGATTTTTTCAAGTGTTAATTACAATTGTAGTAGACTTTCCTTAATTTTAACGCATAATTCTACATTCATTCTGTTAAACAGAATATAAATTATACATACAAAAGAGCATAAAACTACAAAATTTATAAATACAAACGTTTTGAAATATAATTGTTATAACAATCGGTACTTCACTTTAAAAAATTGCTTTGATTCCTATTTGAATTATGAAACCTCTCTAGCCCAAAAAAGATTAGTATACGAAAGTTCTAATGAATAAGATTTAAGACAACAAGTCCAAAATTATAAATTCTAAAAGTAATTATTTATTGCACTAAAAGTTTATCACGAAATATTACTCTTTCACTTCGAATTTTTAATTCAATTATAAATTATTTTAAAAGTTTATCAAATAACACTTTATAAGAAATGTCATTTGAAAAAAAGAACTTTTTGGAACTTTTGTCTTAAAATTCATTCTTTGGAACTTCAGAATCCATACAGAGAGTCTACATTTTTTGACTCCCCTAAAAATAAATTAATAAAATCAGGATTATTTACATTTTTTACTTTTAAATAATAAAAGATAAATATTAACAAATATATAAATTAATAAGTTATAATTCTAAATCTACATGCTATGGAGTTTCAAATCGACGCTTACTGTTCACAAAAACCTAGCATAAACTTTAATGTAAAACAATTATTCTTTTTGAAAAATTAGTGCAATATGAAATTAACTAAAAGAATGGGGATCCTCACAGCCAAATTTGGCCAGTAGAGTGCAGCACCACTATAAGATTTTATGGCGCAAAATTTTAATAAATATAAATTTACATTTACATATTAGCATGAAATATTTATTTCTTTTATTTTTATTGAATCATTATTGAGTATGCACGTTGGTCTTCAAGCACTTTCAGGTTTACCTAAAATAAGTCAAAATTGTGCTAACGCAGTTTTATCTGGAATCGTCCCAAGATTCCGAATTTTCGTTTTCGAAAAACGTAGCTAATTCTTTTTTCGAAAAAAACATATACTTATTTTTTTATTTTTGTTTATTGTCCAAATTTTCGAGTTATGAATTTTCGAAATTTTGGACTTTTAATTGTAGACCTGCAGCGTAGACCCTTTAATTTTAAAACTCATTTAACACATCAGGCACATTTCGGGACTTTTTGGAAAATCTCCTGTATATTATAAGCTATAAATAAATTTAAAAGAAATATAAAAAAATCAGGCCCAAAGTTAAAAAAAATTAATTTGTTATTAAAAAAAAATTTGTATTACATTTCTTAAAAGTCGAAAGAAAACTAAAACTTTCATTCTTTGACATCTTTTCCCTAAACTCAATATTTTCGGACTTATAAGCTACTGAATATAGGTCTACAATTACAAGTCCAAAATTTCGAAAATTCATAACTCGAAAATTTGGACAATTAAACAAAAATAAAAAAATACATATCTGTTTTTTTCGATACAGAATAGAAAAAAATATTTTTGGCAATTTTAAGAGATCGACTAAAATCTCACATGGAATTGCCCATATATGTTTTTTTCGAAAAAAGAATCAGCTACGATTTTCGGAAATGAAAATTCGGAATCTTGGACCGATTCCAGATAAAACTGCGTTAGCACAATTTTGACTCATTTTCGGTAAACCTAAAAGTGCTTGAAGACCATCGTGTATGAAAAGTATAAAAGAAACTAATAAAATTTTACCTCAAAAGCATTCAAAATTAAAATGGGTTTACAATATTTTTAATGATAGGCAACATAACCTCAATTTTTTTATCTATACTTTAACGATACTCTGACTTGCAAAACTTTTTTTTCCTGTGAAACAAAGTCCTCGCTTACGTAATTCAATTTTTAATTTTTCACAATTCCACAAAAAATATTTATTTACTTCGCCCACTTTTTTGTAAACCAATTGTGACTTTTCGCGAAATCAAAAATTAAGCGCTAGACTAATCTTGCTATGGTGCTGCCATCTGAGATTAGCTTTACATATTTGACCCAACACTGAAAATTAAGGATATAAATATTTTAAATAAAATGGTAATGAAAAAGTTATACAAACAAGAATCCTAATCTGGTGTTTAAAGCACTCTTAGGATCATCTTCCATTGAAGATTAAATTGAATTTACATTGAATTTTCTTGCACAACTTCTTTTCTTAATTTGATATTACACTTATTTTCCAAATAGAAATGTTTTACATTGAAGTTTACATTTTATAAACGGGAGGCGTCAAAATACATTTTGCTACTTACAGCAAGCTTACAGGTTAATTGTGAAATGTCATAATACGAATCTTGATTCAGAAACACAATTAAAGATTTATAGTATTAAAAAGTGAAGATATTGTTATACTAATTATATTAATTATTTAAAAAAAAAATTAAGAATCAATCTATCATGGATGAAAATTTATTTATTGTAACAATACCGATGTATAAATGTGTAAGAGTGAGTATATAGGCGTATGAGTAAGATGGATTGGAGTAGGGATTAGATCGATGGGGGGAAAAGAATTTGTGAATCGTGCGACTAATTTGAACGATTAATGACTAAATAAATTAATAATTGTGAACATATATTAGGAAATTGTAAGCTTGAAATAAAAAAAGAGAGCGATAAACCACGTTATTGCCCTTTTATGTTCTTTATTGACCCTTAATAATTGTTAAGGAAAGAGATAAAGATTTGAAGGAAATTTTGGTTTTGTTTGCTATGTGTGTATGTGTAGTGATTGAATCTATATTTATATAAGAATTGAATTTAATTAGAAAAACAAAGACTAATTATATTGTATAGACAGACTGATATTTTACATTATAAAATAATACATTCGCTAATAAATTTTAATTATTATTTCTCCTGTATAGTTACACAATCGCGATACAGTTTATACTCATTTAACATCACATGTTGTTTGAGATATTTGTTAACTTCTATGTTTATAAAATCTGTTGTACAAAAATAACTAATTGTTTGGAAACTATGAGTCAGTCAATTGAGTGAATACACCATTACTTGCATCCGCTATGTACTTATAATTGGTTGTATACATGTTTATTTGGATGAATAATTTTTCCTTTGCTTATAAGTGAGTTGAATTAATACATTAACATAAAAAGTAGAAATTAATGTATGATCTTAATAAATGAATTTCGTTAATTAATTGAATACAAAGGTAAATCAACATTTGGTTAATTTACTAAAAATATTTCTGAGACAAGTAGTGTCAGTATACTTACATATAAGTAGCCTATTAAAAATAATCAGGTGAATTTGATACATTCACGTTCGAGGAACGTTCCTAAAACGTAAAGGTTTTTTTGACCACTTGTATATTTACGTTGCCAAATAGACTCGTGCAAATGAACGTGATTATTATCACTAGGGTAAGAAAAAATTTTCTCAAATAAACATTCAAACACAAGCACACATATATTCAGACACAACAGTATACTGTCAAATGGAAATAAAAATATTGTCTTGTTCAATAACAGTTTTGGTGCTCCCAAACGAGGCAAATAGAACCACGTGTCACACCTTTATCACATTAGCATTATTACTGTAGTAAGAAGCTCTGGGGCGTTTGGTGAGACGCGAGGTAGCGGTGTAGGTGCTATTGCTTTTGCACCAAAGAAACAAGGAAGGCACAATTTATATCTATTTACTTATTTACATTATTGAAATAAAAATAAAGCACGTCGAACAGACGCAATTTAATATTCATTCGAAAGCTCCATTCGTTGTCGACTGTTGATTATTTATTTCTTTACTTTATTCGGTTATTTTCCTTTTTCATCTGTTATTATTTATTTGTATTCTATTTTTCCAAAATACTCTACTTGTATGTTATCATAGTTCGTAATTTTAACATATTTTTAATTTGCTTCCAGTAAAATTGTTTGGCATGTCATGGAAAAATTTTCTACACCAATCAGTCCTGAGAAAATTGTTTCTTGCTATGTATCAAAGGCTTGCTCTGAATCTCCTGTCGTAAATTTAAACGTTGCTCTTTGGTAAACAGCAGCGACCACAGTCCTGGAAGACCAATCTAAACCCTTTGAGTTTGATGACTTGCAAAAAACTATGGTTTGCAGCCACAATCACCTACAAGGAGCCAGAAGAATTTCTAACCAACAAGGACAAGAAGTCACTTCCTGTCTTGAGTACTTAGGACCCCAGCCCTTAGCAAAGCTGATACGGACGGAGTTCACATCAACTGAACCCATGGAAAAACTCGAATTTGTTGTCGATGGTGAGGTTCTTGTCAATGTAGTTCTTGACTTGCTTTGATCAAAGATATTTAAGCAGAAACCCGATGGCACGCGATAAACCAATAAAGTTCTTGATTCTGGATCGTCTAAAGCAGGCGAATTGACAAAAATTGGACTATCTGATCTGTTATAAGCCCATACACCATCTGATTCCTGACTGAGCATCAAACCTACAAAATAAAATCATGGCTTAACAATCGGTGTTCATATGAAAATCATAATTTTTTTCAAAACCTTTAACACTTTCTGTTAGATAATCTAAATTTCTAAACAATATATGGTATATCAGGTTTAGAATCTAAGTATTTTTGAGATTTAAGATACTGTTTATGTGGTAAGAAGAGTGAGGAACTAACCGAGTCCAATTTTGCTACGGGTTCTTTGAACTGCAGGCGGCGCCAGATGATTTTCAGCTAGAGTTGCCAAACAGAGACCGTCTCCATCGTGCAAAGAATCAAAGACATTTACAGTTTTCAATTCCACAGGATAAAGCCGACCGACACGACCGCTTAATTCCCAATAAGCCAATGTACACCACTCTTTTTGTTCAAGCCTTTCTGAAACACAAATTTAAACAATAAAATAAGTAAGCCATTCTTTAAACAAATAATTTTTACATTTCAAAACTTTGTTTTCATCAATGAGGTGAACATCTTACTATTACTGTAATATTATTCTAATATTAAAGTGTAATAATATAGTAAGAATATGTGCTACATGAGAGATTGTATTATTATAAAATAATTGAATGACTTATTATTTTAATGCAGTTTTCTGCACACCGTTAGAACTCGGCTGTCGATAAACTGGCTGTACTCAAAAGTGGTTTTCTATAGTTTTTCTTTCCTCTGGCTAGAAAACCTATTAGACAGGTGGTCCAGGTAATTTAAGAACTCCTAATTTAAAGTTGTGCTGTAGACGCAATATTTCATAAGTTTAGATTATAAGGTATTAATTTGTAAGGAACTTCCATCGTCAATTTTGAAAGATTTAACAAAAATTGATCCTAGTCCTCCAAAATTATTATTTAGTGTAGGAAATAATTAATTCACGTTAATGAATAATTTAATTAAATTTTCAAAAAAATAAATAGATTTCTCTAATTAATATAACAAAGTAATGAGCAATTTTTGATATTTATTTATAAACAGAATAGTTAATGTACACTGTAAAAAATTTAGGGAGTTAACGGACTCGGGAGTTTGAAGTTAAATTTTTCGAGTTAAAAATCAACTCCAAAAGAGAGTTAATTTCTAACTCCCTTCATTCAACACCCGCGCGAGTTATTTTTTCCATGGGGAGTTAGCATTTGGGTGTTAAATTTTAACTCTCTTTATTTAACTCCCCTGGCATTAACTCTCCAATGGGTGCGACTTTTATAGACTCCCCTTGGGAGTTAAAATTTAACTCCCTTTTTTTACAGTGTAGGGACTAGGAGAAACTTGACCTACTTTAATTAGGTAAATTTAGTAAATTTTATTGTTGTTTATTTTATTTGTAGAATCACGGTTACATTTCGACAATTACGGAAACACGTGAAAAAGAAAAATACCCCCAATATGAATGTCAATAATTATTATTGACTTTATTTATTTTAATGAGTCAATTCATACAGCAAACAAATTCACAAAATTTTATTTTATGTCAAAAAGTATATCATAAGAAAAGATTTGATGGTTATATTATTTTATAATTAATTATTAAATTGTTTAAACTTTAATTTGTTTATTATTGGATTTTTCACAATTATCCTACGAAAGAGTAATAAAAATTATCTTATCTAGTGGAGGATAGTTAGAAATAACAAAAGCTGAATTACCGAATAATTATTCGAACAAATTCCTTTAATTTGGTTACAAAGCGACAAGTTCTTCAATAAAAACAAAATATAGACATATAATATTAAGTTAAAGAGAAAATTATATTACATAATTTCATTCATAATTTATTACTGTCATATTTTGAAAACAAAATCTTATCAGTTGATATAGTTTGACGCGTGCCTCATTGTAAGAGGATCTTTAAATTTGGAAACAATGTCCTTTTAAATTTTAACAAAAGCATTCTTTCTATTCACATCAACCATATTATGATAGGTGAGTGAGAATTGACAAATACATGCGTATATAGAATATTATTAATTATTATAAATATTTAATGCTTTAAAAAATCGTCAAATTTTTGAAAAATTTTGATTATAATAGTAAAAATTGACGTTAAATTAATTGACTATTTCTCTTTGGATAATGTCAATGCATGAAATATAATAAATTTGTTGATCGGCTTACATCGAGACAGTTTGGATAAAAAGCGAAGAATGATACAAGACAACTTCAGTTGAACTTAGAAGGTGGACGGAGATGTCCGACACTTTTCATAAAAACTTAAGAAATATTTCAAAGAAAAATAGCAAATTTTAGTCATTTCTATAAGTGATAATAAAAGTAACGAATGATTATAATAAAAAATAATTATTATTTTGAATTAAACGATAATTGAAAAGATGATTTTTATCTGACTTGAGATTAGCACAAGTGGGAAATTATTGATTTGAGAATTCTAGGTTTCTTCCTTTTTAAAGGGTTGAATAAGCCTTTTAAGCCTCTTGCATGCGTTCTCATTTCTCTTAAAGCCAGTTTATATTGTACAAGTACTTCTGGGAAAAGGTCCAATAATATGTCTTACTCTTCTGTCAATTCATTTTCCGCCTCTTATTTTCAACTTTGTGGAATTAACACGGTAAACTCGATAAAAGCTGTTGCTCAATGACATGTAATGTTATATTAATAAAAAAAAGAAAAGTAAAAGATTAATTTTGTTCTTTGCTTGTAGTAATAGTTTATTTCCCATCAGTGGTCACGTGCCCCATGTGACTCGCCATTTTGAATAATTATAACATCAGATTAGTAATCAGCGACCTTGAAAATTTTTAGTTGTAAAGTTTTATAAAAATCTAATCAAAAACCACTGAATAATTAATTTGGTAGAATTTACTGAGCCTTCCGTCTGCTATACTCGAAGCTCCTAAGCCGGTAATCCATTTAAATCGTCATACTAATCTGGTGTTAAGAAATACGTACGAATGTTGGATTGTATGCCCGTTGTGTTTTCGTGTCGTGATTTCTACGTCTAACCTGTATTAGAGAATAATGGAGGAGAGTCTAGTAAATTATATATTACTAATTAACAACTGGATTAAACAATTTATCAATTTGTAAGAAGAAATTCAAGAATTGGGGCCTAAATTCATGTTACTACGTTCCTGATTATTTTTGGATGTTTTGAGTTTTTTGAAAAAATAGAAAAAAATGAAAATCGTTTCTAAGGAGACAACTAAACAAGCATCGAAGATTTGTCTTTCATTCATTATTTTGTCGGGAACATCCGAAGAAACTAGTTTATTTTTAATTTAGTTACAATTATAATTTAAGTATTAATTTGTGTTTGTGCCATTTATCGCTAATTTATTTAATTCCGGTAAGAGAATTTATTTTATTGAAATTTAGTAAAGATTTATTTAATTTGTATTTTAGTAAATTTTGTTGATGTGATTTTTGAGTCCATCTATGATTTGGATTTTTAAAATTTTGGTTATTTGAATATTGTGACATGTTTCAATTATGAATATTTTGTAATTTCCCAATTGTGTGATATTTTCCCCAATTACGTTTTGACCATTCCCTAAATTATTAATAATATTTTGTGGATTTCCTTGAATATTCTATACTATGAATCTTCGTAATATTGTTTTGACCCATCCTTAAGTGATGAATATTTGAGTGATATTTTGACTATTTGTATTTTGTAAATAATCTTGGAATTCCGTGATAAATGAATATTTAAATTATTATTTTGATTAATGTAAATTTTGAAATAATTGTATATGATTTTTATAACTTAAAGATATTTATTTAAAATTGTGATCATTCTATATAAATTTTGTGATTTAATTAATTCTGATTTTGGATAATTGGTTCCCTAGTAGAAAAATTTGGTGGCGCTAGCATGGTGCCACTCTTGCGTGCCATTGCGCTGTAGTGGCGCTAAGAGCATTTGAACCACTTTTTTAGTCTAGCGCCTTTCTCGCATTCTGCCCGCAGTGCTAGAATGAACATAACCTCACCTGCCAAAACTTTATTTCGCGAATTAAAAAATGATTCCTATGTCATTTCTTTTGACGAAAATAATTAAAAAAAATCGTGTACATATAAAAAACATTTACTAATTATCTGCCTACAATGAAGTTTTAACGTATTTGAAGAGTTAATTCACGTTTCGTTTAAAGTTATGGTAAGATTTTAATTCAGAAAACGGCAACCTTTTCTTAATCCCAAGCCTAATCAAAATTTTGATCATTATTTGCTGTATAAAATTGTTTTTTAAATATGGAAATTTTAAGAATAAATTATTATTAAATTTTCATAAAAAATTATTTATTTCTTTAGTAACAGTGTCAAAAATAGTTACACATGTTAAACATTGAAATTAAAATTTTTGAAATTAACCAATTTCTTTTATAATAATAATAATTGCAAAAATTAAGTTCCTATTTAAAATCAGTAAATCTTTTCTGTCAGGTGAATTAAAAATAAAGAAAAAATAAATCCAGTTTGAGGTTATGTTTTTTAATTCGAATGGAGAAAAATTATTAATATATTTGATCCATCAAAAAGTATTTATTGTTACTCTTGGTGATAAATCGTTAAATTAATTACTTAAAATATATTTAAAAATTTTCTTGGAGATTGAATAAAACATTCATATACTAAAAATTCTTTTATAAATAAGTGTATAAATTAACGAATGAACAAGAAATTTATAATGCAATATTAATTTATGTTTAAATTTAATACAATTACAAATATATAAATACTTACAATCCTTTACTATATATTGTTTTTAAATGCCACAATATTCTACAAGCAAACATTTATTTTTACTTTAAAAATAGAAGCAAACACCTTTGACACTTTACGCAACAGAAATTTGAGGTTATGTTGCATTCTAGCGGAAAGTGCTCGCGCCATGCAAGGCGCTAGAAGACGTCGGCGAGATAAATTGCCATGCAAATTCCAGTGGTGGCGCTAGCATATATCTAGGCTTCCATTAAATTTTTCTACCTGGGTTTTTAATCTTTATTGATAACAACCTCCCCTCTCTACCGTTTGGATCTTTGTATAGCTAAGTAACTTTAAAAGTCGTTGCATTATTTTTTCTTTATTTTGGTTAATTTTGTTTTTTTTTATTCTATTGTGTATTTGACTCAGTCTGGCGCCAAACTACAATTTGTGATTTAATTGTTGGTAATTTAATTTTCTTTATTTTTGCAACGCCTTTTAATTTAATTGTTATTATTAATTACTTGTTTTATTTTATTTTTGATTCAATAAATAATTTTTGAAGTTTACACCTTACAGTAAAAATTTAAAACTATTTAACATAGAGTTAATAAGAATTCCAGAAAGAGAGTAGCGCCATGACTCTTGAGTTAGTGATAGACGATTCGCAGTGAATGAGAGATTACCCACCGTTTCCTTGGGTACCATGGTGGATTCGC